AAACGCTACACCTGCTGAGCGTCAGCATGTCGGCGTTGTCACTGCAAACACGCTAACCTGTCGACGTTAGCATTTATCCCCGTGTGTTTAACCACAGCCTCGCAGCAGCAGCAAACAGCCAGCGTGGCTGCAGACCAGAAATAATTGTGAACCGCTCCATTGCTCATCTCTTTTCCTTTTGCTTATTAGTTCAGATGTCATTAAGGAGCCATTCTCTGTTGTGTTCGCACACAATTTTGCAAGTACAAGTTATCAGCGGTTGTGTCATTTGTCATTATAAAAGTCAGAAACCTTTCCTTTCAGTGTAAATTTCCTCTGCATAATAACCCCACAACACAGCGGAGACACCTCGGTGCTTTATATGCTGCAGATATGAAAAGCATATTTCTTCAGAGCGCGGCTGCTTTGTGTTCACGTTCAGCCCAATCGCAGCCTTTCTGGAGCCGGTGGAGACTCAGTGTGTTGATCAAGGACACTCCAGTAATGTAGATATATGCAGACACACCGGTTTGATTAATGCTTCTCTAACTGAACAGTGGCGCCCAATTTAGTGGCGAAAACTGCCGCCGTGCATCCGCTCGCTCTCCCCGCTGGCTCCGTCTTCGTCTGGAGTCTCAGGAGGTTCGGAGCCCACAGGTCAACATGAGGAGAAATCAGAGATACCCTCCTAAAGCCAACACAGAGGCGTGAAATCACTCTCGCTGATACCTGTAGGCAGAGTTCCCAGCCCTCACGGCTTACTGTTGATGTTTCTTGGACTGTGGGAGGAAACTCGAGCATCCTTTAGATGTGGAGGAGAGGGAAACTCCAAAAGATAAAAAGGTCCGGGGCTACTTTAAGAATCGCTTGTTTCTGGGGGTGACAGGTTCCACCGCTGAGCGATTGTGCCCCTGGAGCCTCGGCTGGTTTCTCCTTTCTCAGGTTAATCCAAGGCAATCCGGCTAATTGATTTCCAAACACACTTTTTCAAACAGACTCTCAGAAAATGTGAGACACTTTCTGAAATTTTATTAACACTGGGACGAGCCTGGCAGAGCGCAGTGTGTTCCACGTATACAGAAGAGATTATGGTTGTTCCAGGTGGAAGAGATCAATCCTCGGAGGCAGACAATGCAGGTGTGTGTGTGTGTGTGTGTGTGTGTGTGTGTGTGTGTGTGTGTGTGACAGGTATAATAACAGGATATCTTGCCCACGATGACTTCTCAGAAACTAACCCCAGGAATGGAGCCGACGGGCAGCCAGCGATGGCCGTTATCTACACTGCGAAATGTAATATGCAGTAAGCGAAGGCTTTACTGTCTTGATAGAATCCAACTGTGCCGCAATAATGAGAGTTTGCATCGACCTGCAGAGACGCAGGGCTCGCCAAGCAGAACCGCACGGTGATATAAAATTGATTCTTGCAGTGACCATTTCGACCTGAGAGGCAGGGAGACCCTCGTAAACGACGACCAATTCCAAAGAATAGATGGGCATTTTGTGAAATATGCTAAATTGTTTTCTTTCCACGGCGTTGATGACCGGATCAATGCGAAATTGTACTTTTACAGGGAGCGAAGTCTTTCTTAGAAGCCCAGCCCGGCCAGAAAATACCTTCAGGTAGTCTTCCACAACCGCTCAAAGGGCACCAGTAGATGTTTCTACATTTAGATATAACGGCAAAGACGCTGATCTCCACACGACCTGCTAGCTGTCTGTTCTGTGTTTGCTGAACGAGAAAGTGTCTCAGATCGATTCACACAATATTCCAGCTTACACACAGGAAGCCTGGTCTTAATGCTTCTCACATGCAGCCACTTTGTCGGGACACCGGTTAAGCTTTAGCCTCAGTTTTCAGTGCACAGGTTAAAAATCTGTAACCATCAGAAATCGACTCCGTGTGTCCCTTTGTTCTTACTTGGTCATACGAGAAGTTTGTCTTCTAACATTATGATGTAAATGGGTGTATTTTATTCCAAGCCAGGTCTATTTACTAAATCTAACCGAGCAGTTTTGGTGCTTCAACTTACGGAAGCTGAGAGCGGTCGTTTTCCGCTGCTGTTCTTTCTTCGCCGTTTTCTCGAGATAACGAGTTCATTTTCTCGTTATCTCGGGATAACAAGAATCGTTTTCTCGTGAAAACTACATAATTTATCTCGAGAAAACCAACTTCGTTCAGCCTGCGTCAGACCTCGAGAGAAGTAAAGTCTGATGCGTTCATCAATGACCTCGATCTGACATTTTCAGTCCGTTCTCAGCAAAGTCGCTGCTGCACTCCAGAGCGTCACTCGTTTCTTTGTAAACACAGGCATCAGTATCCACGGATAATTATCTCGTTATCTCGAGAAAACGACCGTTTAAAAAATGTGCGGCCATGACCGCTCTCAGCTTCCGTATAAACTTAACCAAACAGTCTTAAAATAAAATGAAAATAGGTAAAAATAAATAATGATCCAACATGGGGCGCCAACCTTTAAACCTTTGTCTCCAGGTGACATCCTGTGACTAAGGGCAGTGTTGGCGTCCACAAAGACTCTCATTGACTTTGTAAGATTACAAAATTTCCATCATGCAGGTCCTCATGGAGCCTCACATCATCGTGGACGCACAAAGTTTAACAGCAGCTTAAGAAAAAAACAACACGTCTGCATCGTCTGCAGCTGTACACGTCCACAAGGAAACCTAGAAAAGCTCTTATGCGTCTACAAATGAAGAGCTCATTTGCAGAAACAGATATTTTTGTAGATTTTCAGAAAGTTTATTTTTCGTTGTTTGCTTGAGATAATATGAATCAAACTGAAGCTGAGTGGATCTGACTCAGCAGAAATGACATGAAAACAGAGAGAACTCAAGTTTGATTGATATAGTCTCAGGTAGACGATGGAGAAGCGGGTTTTCTGAAGGTTTGTGATTATTTGGAGTTATCTGTTTTTGCAAATGAACTCTTCAGATGTTGAATATTGAAGCAAGTAGCACCAAGAGGACGGCATCTCAGAGACATCAGCGGGTTTGACAAAACAGCCGCATTTGATGCCCCAGAAATAAGAAGGTTTATTGAGGAGAAAGGGAGTAAGAGTGGCTTTAAAACTAACACATGCTAATTATGTACATATTCTAACTAACTAAATATGAGTAATCCTTTCCCTGATTCACAGACTTCCCCTTTAAATCATTTATCAGTCCATTAGTCAGCAAGGTTGCTCTCTAGTAAGTTCAGCTTCGAGGCAAATAGTTATAAAACCAGTTACACATTTTTTTCCCCCACATTGTAAATGCAAAAATATTAGCCTAAAGTAAATGTAGGAGCTTGGACTCACGGGGATCAGATGGATAGTTTAACATGAACATAATACTTCACTACACCTCACTGAGTTCTGGTCAGATTCCTCATTTTTCCAAAATCTGAACTGAATAAAATCTAAAAATTACCTTCAACCTCCTGTTATATCTAAAGGTAGAAATTGAGATAACTCACAGCTGACTCATCGCTAACCCAAGTTTCTTTATACTTAAGATCATTTCATTGAACCTGAGATTTTGTACTTATTTTTTCCACTGGAGCTGTTCATTTATTGTATTTGTGCGTCAACCGGGTGAAGCTGTTACTCATCCGTGTGTTGAAAATACTTGAAAATTAAAAATGTAAGATAAAAAGAACCGTTTTACTTGATAGACAGATTCACCAAAGTAATGAAAGAAAGTGTAAAGAAAAAAACAGTCTAATGTGGAGACAGTTGTTCACCTTTTCCTTGATCACCCACCTTTTGACTAAACCAAGTGCAAATGAGCATCAGACTCTGGCAGAGGTTGAGATCCAAATTGCCAGCTAATCATCCTAATGCATTATATAAACCCGGCTCCCTGCTGGGTTTTTGACAGCCCCTTTTTTTTTTATTTCCTCCTTCATATTTCAGTGGAGAATCTGGAGAATGTAAATGTTTGTCTGATCTTCTGCGGTCATGTTTTGCTCGCCTTGGCTGGCTGCAGCAAGACAAACATTATCCGCCTCAGATGTGATGTAATGCCAAAATGGCTGCTGCTGCTGTGTGATTACACTCTACAGCAACCGGGGCTTCACATTTTTATTTTAAGGCCCTCGAAATGATGCTTCAGCGTGAACTTTCCGCGCGCACAAACTCATTTGTTCCCGTTGTAAAAAGGTCCCTCGGCTTCATGTTTGCTCCCACCGTTATGACTTTCCCTGACATTAGACAGCCGATGACGTCTCATCGGCGTTTAAAATAAACTTCTTCTCTTCAGCAAAGCAAAGGCGCTTTGCTGCGTGTTGTCAAACCCTGAGTGTATATGTGTAGACAGAAATAGACGGCCACCCACACATCATTAGGGAGAAGGAGGGAGAGGGAGCGAGAGATTGACTGTGACAGTGGAGGAGAATGAAGCTGGCTGAAGAAAATATGTCGGTCACAGTTTGACGCCGCGGCCTCACGTGTTTTTTTTTTTTTTTTAAATAGGTCCTGAAGAGTTTGCCTTTAACGTAGCTTTCTAAACAGGCAGAGCTTAATTTCCACAGAGAGAAAGATAACACTTCAATTTCCCATTACTTATAAACTTGGAGTGTGTGGGAGGGATGTGGGCTATTTCGCTATACTTGTGCTCTAATGGAATTAATGGTGCGGAAGGAGTCCACCCTCTTGTGGGGTGTTAAAAATGTATATTTCATTCCGTTATTGTGCACATATAATTCTCTGCAGTGCTGCACGGCGGCTTAATTTATTGAAATCTTGAGCTTCCATCCTTCTTATCTAACAGATCTGTTTCATGATTCACCGTGTAGGCGGCCTACCTCTTGGCTACACCGGCTTCATTCGAATGTCTACAAAAGCATGGACTTAGCATCAGAAGCAGCTCTCGCCGGTTCGCCGTGTTGCTTCTATTTTTGAGCGATTTTAGGTAACAGAGGCTCGCAGCGGGTCGACCCGCCATCGACAGCTAATTCCTGAATAAATCTAATCCGTCTCCTCTCTTTGGTTCTTGTTCCCCTCCCTCCTCTCTGCCTTTAGGAAGCTGCTGAACGTGAAGATCATCGACGACGAGGAGTACGAGAAGAACAAGACGTTCACCATCGTGCTGGAGGAGCCCATCCTGCTGGAGGTGGGACAGAGGCACGGTGAGTCGAGGACACAGCTCATTATTTCCTCTCCTAAAGTAAATGTAACTTTGCATCCACGCTCCCTTTATATTTTATTTAACTTCCTGGGGCAGCACAGATTATATCCATTGGTAGAAATTCTTATTAAGTCTGCAGCAAATTCTCTTTGGTGTGTTTCACGACCAGACTTTCTGCTGGAGGACTCAAGGTCTGATGTTTGCTCTTTATAATGACTTAAATAAAGTAGTTAGGTCAGGGTTGGAGCTAAAGGGGACAAGGCCCAGAGGAGATATTTATAATTTGTACATTTCTCCACACATTTACTTTAATTCAGTGTGTGTGCAATCTCTATACGGTTATTTAAAAATGCATCGCAGAAAAAATTGTAGATCATTCAGTATTTGCAGTTCAGTTTTACTTAAAGATTCTTTACAGTCACATCTGTATGATTTATTTTCTACCAAGCAGAAGCGAGCTGTGTGTGTTCCCCACCCACACGACGGCTAAACCCTCCCCATCGCTGCCACCAGATCTCCAAATAATTAGGTCATTGTTCTTACAGCGGCATATTTATCAAACTCGGTTAGATAATGTGACACTTGTTGGGCGTGCTCACACGAGATGATAGTTACCCGCTTTGTCCTGTAGAGGGCCGCGGTGGGCTGGAGCCTTTCCCGGCTGATGTTGGGTGAGAGGCGGAGTACATCCTGGACGGGTCGCCAGTCCATCACGGGGCTAACGCAAAGAGACAGACAACCGTGAACACTCACACTCCAGCCTACGGACAATTTAGAATCAACAATTAACCTCAGCGTGTCTTCGGACGGTCGGAGAAAACCTGTGAGAACATGCAAACTTCATGGAGAAAAGCTCCAACCAGGCAGCAGGCTTAAACCCAGAACCACACAGATTTGAAGCAATCAGAAACTACAACAGATAGGAGGGCTCGTCAGGGTTTTGACAAACTACCTTAAAATAAACAGGCAGTACTTGGAAATGTGTCTGGATGACTCATAACGTGCTCATTTATCATGAAAGCAATTCATGGAAGAACATTCGAGACAGATTTAGATGAATAAAACTGAATTTCATGAATTATTTAAGACAATAAATACATTCCAAATGAAGAATGTCTACGCATAAATCTGATAAGTGTGGGATTAAATAAATAAGCAATGCAACACATATCCAAAAAAAAACTATCTACTGATACAAATAAATGTTTATGTATGATTTTAAAAATTAATTCCAACCCCTTATTATAATTTGTATTATCCTGAGTTTCTATATTCAGGCTGGGGATGCTTTTATTTATTTCACCGATGACACTCGTCAATCAACCTCTGGGCACAGGATTAGCATTTATGACTGACTGCTCCGTCACCGAGTGGAGATTCAGAGAAAAGAAGTCGAGTCAATCCAGCAGACTGGAGCACACCATATCAGAGATGACAGAAATCCCTCTCCTCTCCTTCCCTGCCTCCTCTGTGCCACAGCAGCTCCTTACTGCTGAGGATGTGATTATACAAACATGTCTTTACTGGTCCTAATGCACAGGCAAAAACCAACCAGTCATCACCTGAAACTGATGTTCTGATCAATAGTCAAACACGCCGCTGACGAGGGAAGGAGCAGCGACTTTCACAATCTGCTTCTGTGCTGCAGGAGACACCAATGACAACAAGACAGCTGTGGGGCCGGAGGACGTGTCAAAGATGGGCTGCCCCTGTCTGGGAGAGCACACCAAGCTGGAGGTGGTCATTGAGGAGTCCTACGAGTTCAAGGTAACTCAGAATACACAGCTTTTTCTTTTTTTTTTTTACCTCGTAGCTCACAAACGAATGACTTCACAACATTTACTGAATGAGCCACAATCTTCCTGGAAGCTCATAAACACCTGACAAGACTTTCACTTGCACCGATTTTGGTTTTATCACAATATTTTGGGTCTGACTGTGGGGGATTAATATTTAATCTGAGCAGGGATGTGCGATAAATTATGAGTTGTGTTCCTCTAACTGGAGGCTCTGCCCGTGGAGTCGTTCAGTCATCATTCCAGCCGGCTTGACTAGTCGGAGAAGTTGAGAAAAATGCATCATTTACCATAATGCAGCATTTATGGAGGCTTATGGAACCGGTCAGGCTCCGGGCCCAATCTCAGATAATTCTGTTTCCATCCCCGTGACATCATCTTAGTCAGAGCCGCTGAGCACATTGAGCTCATTGTGTTTACAGGTTTGCGCTGCAATCCTCTTCACCAGTTCACTGATCTTCGAGTGTAAAAGAGGTGCTGCGCCCCTTTAAGACAATTTAAGAGGGTTTAGGCTGAAACATGATACTGCACTCTTACTCACAGCTCCGGTTTCATGCGCCGGCTCTATTTTCTGCTCTGGTGTAAAGCAGCTTTCTGCTGGCAAAGTGCCGTCCTCCTGAGGGACGGAGGGGTTTTGTGTTCCCCTGCATCTGTTTTGGTGACTCACTGTGCACCACGGCAGAAGGAGGGATGCTGTTAATTGTACCATAATTCATCCCATCACTGTCCCCTGTGTCGCACGGTGATAAGATTATACCGTATCTTGTACCTGTAAACGCACCTCCTCTCTTCTGCTGTCTTTGCCTTTGCGGCCCGTCTGCAGAGCACGGTGGACAAGCTGATCAAGAAGACCAACCTGGCTCTGGTGGTGGGGAGCAGCAGCTGGAGGGAGCAGTTTGTTAGTGCTGTCACTGTCAGCGCAGGTGAGTCGCAGCGTCCTGAAACGTCTCATCTGTTCAGCCCTCTGAGAGCAGACCTGTGGAAGACGAAGCCTGCAGGCTGATCAGACCCACCAGCTGCCTGTTGTGCAGCATTTTTTTATTTCTTATATTAAAATTCAACATGCTCCAGTTTGACACTGGCTGAATTTTTTAAAAACTTAATTTAACACATAACAAATGAAAGAACTGACAAAATCAAAGCTTGCTTTAATACATCTTCTGTGTTTATTTGCTGCATCAGTTTAATCCTGACAGTTTATTAAAACTGCATACAGCAAAGTCGTGGATCGCTCATCCGACTCATCATAAACCGGCAGCTCTGCCTGAACAATTAATGGCTCTGAAGAATTCATGTCCATCTACGTGGTGTAGTGAATCCTTTCAGTTTGCTCTTTAAAAGCCATTTGTTGGCTTTGTAAGCCTTTCAGATCTGCGCTAGTGCACAAAACGCTAAAAGCTGACGTAGACACCAGAGATGTGTCATGTCGTTATTACGCTCTTTTCCCTCATTTTGTCTCCGTGGTTGAGGTCACTCAGATTTACTGTACATGCTGAGTGTATGTATAAATAGAAAATACGCCTCTTGCCTATATGCACATCTCAATCCCTGAATCATAGCTACGTTTACAGATTTAATGCAGCGGTTTGATGGTTAGCTGCCACATCTCCGTCAATTAACTTCAGGGTGATGGAGGTCAGCGGATAATCCTGGCTGTCAAAGATATTATCTGAGCTCTAAGCTTTTAAGATTTTGGAGAGTTTTAACTTTTGTTAGAGTATTGAATACTGTAGGTTCTTAATGTAAACATGTAGGTTAGTCATGTTCATTTGTATGATACTGTAAAGCTTTAGTCTTAATATTTATATTAGTCAAGTATATTTACATTATGAATAATACTGTTAGGTGTGAACATTCGGATTTAAATTTCTTTAATTTCTAAATGCCAGCCCTGTTTCTCTACTGGAAGCCACTTTGGTTCAACAGCTTTTGTTTTAAATAAGCTGTATAAATAGTAGTGACTTAACTTGACTAAAATATGAACTATTTACTGTTTCACCAACTTTTTAAAGATTTAAATTTACGGTCATCCCCTGAACTAACAGTGCACAAAGCTCCCAAAGCATCATGCACCCTTTTATTTAAACTTGATTTCTTTGGTGTTGCCTCGAGGGCTGAGAAGTGAAGCCAACATGGAAGTGCAGTTCCTCATACGTCCACTAGAGGTTGGTGCCAGAAGCCAGTCGGTCTCCTTAGGCTTCCGTGTAAAAATGTCTAATTTTACAGTAGAAACAAACATGTTTACAGCCCGATACACAAAACAGTTCAGGTCTCTATAGATAAAACTCCCCGTTCATAATAACTTTACGAGGGATTCATGTTTATAGAACTCACCTGTTGACATTGTGTTGGGTTTAAAGTGATGCATGATTAAGGACGTGACCACTTTACGTTGCTGTCACACCCAGCTCCACTCATGCTCCATATTTTAGCTCAGTTGTGGATTTGCTGGGACTTAGGAGGAGTCAGGTAATGCAAAGATGGTGACAGGAAAAGCCGCCACACTGAGCTGCTTCAAAATATATCTCTGGGTTTGTCCATCTTTATTCACAGTCTACGGTTACCTCGCGATAAGTCTTGCATTCCCACTGATCCACAGCGAGACTGGGTTTAATGGAGATGGGTGTTATGATGACTATCTGTTAAGATGTAATAGACGACCAGTGGAGGCGCCTGGCTGAGGTCAGGCAGGTTCTGGTCTGTGTAATTGCTACAAGGCTGCAGCTGTGATTGTGTCTGTAACAATCATCAGTTTGGCTGTCGCTGTCGTGATCGCTGTGCTTTGGTTGTAATGATTAACTTTATAATAATAACTTTATTTGGATGTCCTCGCTCATTCAGCAGCTGCAGCTCCAAGAAATTAAGAATAAAATCTAAAAAGTCCATAATTAAAGTAATAAACAGGTGTGATACCAGTAAAATTCATAAAACTAGATAAAAAAAAAAACTACAAGCCTAATAAGATAAGTTTTGTTTTTCTACTTATTCTATCTACTCTTCTGGAAGACTTTTCCAGACTTAACACAGAATGCAGCATTTCTGTTCGTCTTAGTTGTTCTCTGGAGAACCAGAGACCAGAGTCAGAGGGTCTAGGACAGGGGTGCCCAATCCTGGTCCTCGAGAGCCCCTATCCAGCATGTTCTAGATGTTTCTGTCTTCCAACACACCTGATTGAAATGATCAGCTCATCATCAAGCTCTGCAGAAGCCTGATAACGATCCTGATCATGTGAATCAGGTGTGTTGGAAGAAGGGAAACATGTAAAACATGCAGGATAGGGGCTCTGGAGGACCAGGATTGGACACCCCTGGTCTAGGAGGAGCAAATCTAGCCAACACACCTGACAAATAGACAGCAGCTAGTCCATTAAGTGATTTAACAAATAAAACCTGAATGAATTCAACCCTTTCAAAGACCCTTTCAAAGTGGAATAATGTGTTCTCTATGTTTAGTTGTGGTGAAAGGACCAGAGAACGGAGTCAAACACAAGCATGAATAAGTCTTTTAGCGTCTTCCTTAGACAGGAAAGGCAATATTTCTGAAATGCTAAAATGGATTTCCGGCGACACCTGGGATTGAAAGGAGAGGTCACAAGCGAAGACGACGCCGAGGCTCTCTGCTGCATGCGGCGTTTAGCGCTGCCAATCATTCGTTGTTAACGGGTGTGACACTAACGACATGCAGGGGCTGCGAGTGCGTGGCGAATTGACATAATTGTGACGGGCGAGCACAAGCCACCGCGCTCCCGACCTCCTACGGCGAACTGGTAACACAGCTGTCATATCTGAGCACAACTGCCTCAAATCCCATTTCTCTTAACAATTATGTCCTGGCTGATGTTAACAGGAGCAGTAAAGAGTAGTTACAGAGCACAGCCGCCGTGGCCATGTCAGCAGCATTGTCATCCACCCGAGCCAGACGGAGCAGCTGCGACTCTGGAAGGAGAGAGAGCCATAAATGTATAATGTAAACCATCATCCTGCCTTTCTGTAGTGTCTGCAGAGCTTTCCCCAAACTGGTGTGGGCTGACTGTGGCTGTGGATCAAGGAGAATGCAGAATGAAAAACTCCCCATCGTGACCCTTTGTAAAGCTATGACAGCTGGATCGATTAGATTTACTAATTTTGCATCTAAAAAAAAAAGCTCTAAATGAAGTTTTTATCGACTCAGAAGCAACAATTCCAGGTGTGTGTGTTTTTCTGCTGGACCTCATGTGTCTCCTCTCTGTCCTCTTCGCCAGGTGATGATGATGAAGAGGAGAGCGGGGAGGAGCGCCTGCCGTCCTGCTTTGATTACATTATGCACTTCCTGACAGTTTTCTGGAAAGTCCTCTTCGCTTTCGTCCCGCCCACCGAGTACTGGAACGGCTGGGCCTGTTTCTTTGTCTCCATTTCCCTCATTGGCGTTCTGACAGCTGTGACCGGGGACTTGGCCTCGCATTTCGGCTGCACCATCGGCCTCAAAGACTCGGTCACTGCTGTGGTGTTCGTGGCTCTTGGCACCTCTGTTCCAGGTGGGCGTCCGTGCTGTCGATCAGCTCTAACGGCACACTTGTCCTGTGTTTCCTCTGGGCTTTGCCGGTGCAGTAAAAGCAGCTGCTTGGGGAGCCTTGTGTTACCTCTACCTCTGTCTGGGCTGTCACTGGAGTTCTCTGCAAAGCACTTGTCTTGGACCTTAACAAGCTGTAAACAAAGAAAAACACCGTTTCGCTCGTTATTGTCTGCCTAATTGTATTCCCAGCTCGCTACGTCCTAAACACTGGCATAGAGAGGTACAAAGGAGAGTATGGAAATTAGGTTTTGACAGGTTTCCGCTTTGTGAAACCCCCTCGCTTTCCATCGAGCTGGCGGACTCGTTATGCAGGGACGTAAATTAGAAGGAACTCATCCCAAAGTTATAGCAACCAGAAATCACAGCCTGTGACAGAAGTTCATTTTGGGGGCAGAGAGCTTCAGAGACATCATCTGCTTTTACTATTTGTTGTAATTTACTTTAATCCTCCAATACATATCTGCAGATATGAGGTTAATTCTGCAGATCTGTTATTTGTAAGATGTTTTAATATTTGGTCTTTTTACCTCAAACACCCCTTTAGACCTTTAAGCTGGACCGGTGGTCATCATTGATAACACTGGGTTACAAAAAAATACTTTACTGAAGGTGTCTAGGATTTTTTAACAGATTTAGGACATTTTTGCGATGCTGAATCCAAACATGACATCTGCTTTTCTGTATCAGGTCAGGTTTTTATGCTAACTCGATTTTTAAAAAATCGATTTTACCACTAAATCGATTACATTTTTTGGCATTAGGGATTGATTTATTTTATTTTCATTTTTATTTTCATTTTCTAATCCTTGTGATAAGCTAAATTATCCAAAAGTTGATGAGCGTAAACATTTGTAAAGGTAAATACAAGTAAATTGCATGTTTCATCAAATCAAAATTTTGACCTCATTGAGTAAAACCAGTGTAATATTTGGATTCAGCACATTGCAATTGTCTAAAATCAGCTCAGAAAACTGTGACACCAAAATGTGTGTAGACCAGTGTAATATATGACCCACCTGCATGAGATCAGTCGCATTGCACCTTGGGCTATATCCCGGATGCAGCCCGAATTACGTTACCACGATAAAATACTGATTTGGGGTTTATTCCTTAGATCGGCCCTTTTGGTTGTTTTCTACATGTAGGTAACATATTACGCTCCATATCGCTGTCAGATACCGTCAGCATGCGAGAGCGGTAACACCAGAAAGAAGCCACGGAAGTCACTTGTGTCACTGCCGGCCAATCCTGTCCCATGATTTGTGTCATGTGGTAGCAACACGCCGTTTACGCATAACAGCCCAATGCGACTGATTTCATGCAGATGGGTCACATATTAGTTATTATGATTTAACTGAACGGTGTAAACATGAAGCTAAAACCAAGTGCAAGTTAGCCTAGCTTAGCATAATATTACGCTCCATATCGCTGTCAAACACCATCAACATGCGTGAGCGGTAACACCAGAACGAAGCCATGGAAGTCACTTGTGTCACTGCCAGCCAATCCTGTCCCGTGATTTGCGTCATGTGGTAGAAACACGCCGCTTTTGTTTACGCATAACAGCCCAGTGCGACTGATTTCATGTAGATGGGTCACATATTAGTTATTATGATTTAACTGAATGGTGCAACCATGAAGCTAAAACCAAGTGCAAGTTAGCCTAGCTTAGCATAATGACAAGAAATAAAGAGGGGAAAAGTTAGCATGGGGACGTCCAAACACCCTACATCCCACCTAAAACCCCCTTAACTTTTCATTTCTTTCTTTTTAACCCATAAAAACAAACCAAAATGTAAAAAAAGACAATTTGCTCTTTCAGTGGAGCTTCCACCCAACGTGTGGCGTGCTAGCTCGCAACTGTCAGTAAATAACACAATTAGCAAACTAGCATGTTGCCAGTGATGCTGGTTTGTCCTTTGCTTGTTCAGCAAAGGTCAAACCAAACTATCCTCTATAGAAAGAAGCAGAACAAGTTTCATCTATAACATCTTTTAGCAGACACCATCTGAGTTAAGCTCATGAGCTGCTTGATACGGTTTTGTTTTCAAAGAGCGCCTCCAGTACAAATTAAGTTCTTCATCTTGTCAACACGTCCCTTTGGGGTTGTTTTAAGTACATACATAGATAACAGCCAGAGAGGGACTTTGTGATGCAGATTAAGACGAGCGTGGTGTCGATTTAACCATCAGAAAAGAAATGAAGGTATTCCTCTGTATGTTAAGCTTTGACTTTCATAGCATTTACAAAAGTCAACACGGTTGATTATTGTAATTATTATTCAACTATACACCAATAAATAACTAGATTAAGAGCATTCATAGCTGCAGACACCAGGATTTACTAAGAATTACATTCACAAACAGGATTTTCACAACCTGGCAACCTAAAGCTTGTTCTAACGGAGAGCATCAAACATATTGATAAAGCAATAGTTAATCCATTTATTAGCCATTCAGGAAGTCAGTTTGGTTGTTTAATTTCATATTACTTGTCATTAACTTCCTGTAATGTTTGTTTAGGCGGTGGTGGATCTTTTTTCTGCCCCCGTCAGAGTCTGGATCTCCATCGATACCTGATTTGTACAAACTCACCGCTTCCTCCTTCTTTCACAGACACATTTGCGAGTAAGGTGGCCGCCATCCAGGATCAATACGCCGACGCCTCCATCGGGAACGTGACGGGCAGCAACGCGGTGAACGTGTTCCTGGGCATCGGCGTGGCCTGGACCATCGCCGCCGTGTACTGGCAGACCAAAGGCAAGGTGTTCCGGGTGAACCCGGGCTCGCTGGCCTTCTCCGTCACCCTCTTCACCATCATGGCGCTGGTGTGCGTGATGTTGCTGCTCTACCGCCGACGTCCCTCGGTGTCGGGCGGAGAGCTGGGAGGCCCACGGACAGCCAAGCTCCTCACCTTCTTCATGTTCCTCTCCCTCTGGTTCATCTACATCCTGTTGTCCTCCTTGGAGGCGTACTGCCACGTACCCGGCTTCTGAGGCAACAGAGGGAAAACGCACAGACACGACTCCTCTCCTTGTTTTTACACTCTCCTCTTTCTTCTTCTTCTTCTTCTCTGTTTTTTGTCTATTTTCACAAAAAGGTTTATATCTATTTGTATCATTAGTTATTATTGATACTGCACAATATCTGATTGACTCTTTGGACTTTGGAACTTTGCTGCCACCCACGATGCTGTGACGGATAGCTTCTGAAATTGAAACCTCTCTCAACTTTCTTTTAATATTACACAAGACGTTTATTAATCATTGCTATCAGCATAAATCACCCTTATGTCACTTGACGCATACAGCTTCTTGCATCACGTCCTCTCTCTCTCTCTCTCTCTCTCTATCCGTGTGGACTCTTATTTGAGTTTTTTTTTTTTGTTTAGGTGTTAAGAAAGCACAAGATTGATGCAGCGAGCGCTACAGAAGGGAAGATTAAAGACGGTGCATGGGATGACATTATACAGTACTTGACATTTACATAAAGACTGAAGTTACGGGCGAAACATTATCTGTGTGATGATATTTATTACTCAATCTAGACATTATTTATTCATTGTATATCATGTAAAAGATTGTGCGTGGGAGTTTTGTGAAGGACTAGGTGTGTTTTAATTTATTTAATTTATTTTTTTTTGCACGTAATCAGATTAACAGTTTCTCGGTAATCTATTTTAAAAGTACTGTATGTAATCTTTTGACATGGCTGTTGACGTGTTGGTGTGTTCCTGTACATGTGACTCACAGCTGTATCATAACACTTCTCACTGCCTGACGGTATCACGCTATAGACCAGGTGTAAAAAACAAAATTTTTTACAGCACAAGCGGAGGAGAGTGTTTAACTGTAGAAATTCTGTGTGTGTGTGTGTGTGTGTGTGTGTGTGTGTGGTGAGTGTGTGTGTGTGCTCCTCTGCTCTCCGGCACAAAATGGTGAAAGGCCTGGCTCCTCTTAAATGGTACAGGGTTATTATTCATGGCAAAAAAAAACAAACAGAGTCTCAGAGCGGATATGAAAAAGGACGCTAGTTTTCTTATCTGTCACGCTGACACTGTGAACATTTTTCAACGGAATCACTTTTAGAGAAAGCACAGCGGCGAGCGAACGGACAACTTTTCACACGAGAGCAGGACGAGCGAGGCCCTTATCACAGCACAATCACCCGACGCCGGCCGGCCCATCATCCGACACGACAGACGTGCTAAAAGAGAAGACATGTACAGTTTCCCCCCCCCCGGCCCTGAGAGTGTCTCCTTGTGTCGCACAGCGGTTGATACTGAAGTTTGTTTTGGTTTTTTTATTTAACCTAGAATCTGTAGAGCCATATTTATTGTAACAGTATTACAGTAGAGGTATTTATATGATCGATTTTAGTTTTATTGATATGCACGTTTAATGTATAAAAAAGTGGAAATAAATGTTGCTGATTTATGATGCCGTAAAAACG